TCTATGAGCAGCTGTACAGTGTACCTACACGTCACAAGTGTGAGTAATGATGCAAGAGCAAGTCTTATCCGACACTATTCCGAAGATATCCCGGACGTAAATCTGAGCAAAATTAGACTGGCTCTCCAGCAGCTTAAAAACAGCAAGGCCCCGGCCGAAGATGAAAATATATACAGCGGAGCTTCTGAAAACAGTACTTACAACAGTACTAAGACTTCAATCCTTCAGAAGCTCTTTAATTCCGTCCTCCATGATGGCACTACTCCGCAGGCGTGGAGCATATGTGCGGTGATCTTGTTCTTCAAGAAAGGCAAAAACGCTCGCTTGGAGAACTAAAGGACGATTTCCCTTCTGTGCCGCGTCTACGTGCTGTTTTCGAGAATCATTACGAATCGTCTCGCACGCAGACTCGACAACTTTCAGCCTGTGTTGACTGTCGGTATACCGAAGTGTTAAAGTGTTTGTTCAGTAGTAGATCACTCACCTTAGATGTGCTAACGATATCGTCCTTATGGCAGGATTGCTGAAGGACCTAACCACTATGCTCAAAGACCTCGATAGTACCTCCCAAAGGATAGATCTTCCCGTGTAGTGGCGGATAAGAATACCCACTTCACCATATTTTACCGTGGGTATCGTAAGAGGCGACAGAAGGAAATTGAGGCAGATGGGCAGCAACATCTTTCTGATAACAGCAAAACAACAATAAAAAAAACTGCAGTTGCCAACCCGCTCACCAAGTGACGACAAGATGCTAGAGCTGGAAGAAGTGATAGACAAGTTGCGCCGGAATATTATAGGATTACCCGAGGTCCGAAGAGAGTGGGAAGACACGGTAATCCTCATCAAATCCTCCAACTTGTTCTATCACCGGGAGGGCGACCATCTGTTCCATGGAGGTGTCGGATTTGTCGTCCACAAGCCTCTAGTTAACAACGTTGTAAAGATTGTGAGTGTGTCGACGAGGGTTGCGTACCCAAGGGCGGCTCAAGGATTTATTTCTGGGAGGGGCACATCGTCCATGGGTCAAGTGTCCCAAATAGTGCTGTACTATGCTGTTTTATGGATCAATTCTTTGTCAATGAAGTACAACAATAACTATATAAAAAAACTTGTAATAAAGATTATATAATGAGAAATTACATGTCTATTAGAGATAGCTTTCTTTTATGTTTCACTGCTGAAGATATCAAGTAATTCTTCAGCGTTCATATTCGTAGCAATCTCTTTCTTCTCTTTCTTTATGAATATGCATTAAGCCCAGTCCATTTAAACAATCTTCTTTTATACTGCTGCGAAGATATGTCTTCAACCGGCGTAAGGTGGAAAAAATTACTCGGCAGTGCTGGATGTCACATGAAACGTGCACAATAATTGACACAATTGCTCTTTTATAGGCATCTGCTGTAGGTGCATACTACAAACGAACGCACCACCTCTTATTGGTTTGCCCGCTTCAGTTCTGGAAATGTTGACTTGAAAAATGAACCACCATGGTTGTTCGAATACTTTGGTCGACAATGACGAATAAAAGGCGACTGTGAAAGCTGATGATACTCAATCTACGGCTGAATTAGCAGCAGCTTTCGACGTTAGCATCAAAACCATATTGATCCTTTTGCGTCAAATTGCCAAGGTGAAAAAGCTTGATAAATGTATGCCCCACGAACTCAATGATCGCCAAGCACACAAATAAAGGAATTTGGAATACCGCATTGTTACCTGCGACAAAAATGGATTCTGTCTGCAAGCACTCAGCAAGTTGGTTGCATCCTGGTTCAGCACAATGCCCTAAAGGAAAATTTATTTACCCCTATAAAAGTGATGGCCACTGTTTATTGGTCTACGGTGTGATTCATCGCAGCTTCTTACCAAACGGGATGAGCTTACTTTGTACTGTTAAGAACTGAAAACAATGATGGAGAAATTCGCACATCTGCAACCACCTTTGGTCAATCGCTCGCCACCGCTGCTGCAGCAAAACAACGCGCGATTTCATACTGCACAACAGATAGTCTCCAAGTTACGTTACGTAGTTAGTTGGAAGCTCACCGTCATCCACCGTACACACCAGACCTTGCACCTACAGAATTCTACTTTTGTCAGAATTTGGATAACTTTGGGCGGGAAAAAACTTCAATACACGAGAAATAAGTACAAAATGCCTTTGAAGAATTTGTTGCCTCCCGTCTAAGTGATTTCTTGAAGAAGGGAATCAATAAACTGCCACTACGTTGGGAAAGATGAATCGATTGCATGGATACTTTGATTAATAGAAATAAAAAATATAGAAAAAATTGCGTTTATTTATTTCACATAAAAATGGCATTTTATAGGTAAAGACCCTAATATTTGGGCTTTCTTTTGGCCCCTGAGCTTTTCTTTTCTTCTCTGAGAAGATGAATTTGTTTAGCTGACTCACGAATTCTTGTTGGGTACGGTGCATGCTGCACACGTAAGTGTGAGTAACGATCGAAGAGGAAGTCTTATCCGACACTATTCCGATGATATTCCAGACGTCAGTCTGAGCGAGATTAGAATGGTTCTCCAGCACCTTAAAACGGCAAGTCCCCAGGTGAGGTTGGAATAACAGCGGAGCTTCTGAAAGCGGGTGGAAAACCTTCAGAAACTCTTTAATTCCGTCCTCAATGGTGGCACTACACCGGAGGCGTGAGCTGAAGTTCGGTGGTCTTGTACTTCAAGAAAGGCGACAATGCTCTCTTGGAGAACTACAGACCGATTTCCCTTCTGAGCCGCTTCTACGTGCAGTTTTCGAGACTCATTACGAATCGTCTCGCAGGCAGTCTCGACAACTTCCAGTCTCCCGAACAAGCCGGTTTCAAAAAACGCTTTAGTACCATAGACATACCGTTCGGCAAATCGTACAGAAGACCGAGGAGTACAATTTACCACTATGTCTGGCGTATGTGGACTATGGCCGTGCTGCAGTCCCTTCAGCGGTGTCAAGTTGACTGTCGGTATATCGAAGTGCTGAAGTGTTTGTACAGTAGGGGCTACGATGGCTATACGAGTACAGAACCAGAGTACGAAACCTATCTAACTACAGAGAGGTGTAAGACAGAGTGACGTTTATATCCCCGGAAACTCTTCACCGCTGCAATGGAAGACGTTTTCAAAGTACTGGACTGAAAAGGATATGGTATTTACATCAATGGCGAGTACATCACTCACCGTCGATTTGCCGACTATATAGTCCTTATGGCAGAATCGCTGGAGGACCTAAGCGCTATACTCAATGGCCTCAACAGTGTTTCTCAATGGATAGGTCTTAAGATCAACTTGGACAAAACAAAGATCATGTTTAATATCCAAGTCACACCCACGCAGGTAGTTGTTGGGAGCTCTAAGCTCGAAGTTGTTGACGAGTATGTTTACCTGGGACAAATAATCCAATTAGGTAAGTCCAACTTCGACCCAGAGGTCAATCGACGGATTCAACTTGGCTGGGCAATGTTCGGGAAATTATGACATATCTTCTCGTCAGGTATACCTCAAAACTTGAAAACGAGATTGTACAACTAGTGCGTGTTTCCAGTGATGACTTATGGATCTGAAACGTGTTCTTTCACTGCTGGCCGTATTACGAAGCTCAAGGTCTCACAGCGAGCTATGGAGAGGGCTGTGCTCGGGGTTTCAGGATAACTCAAAAATCACTGGTCAAATCCATAAGGATCACATGAGAAACACCAGCTTTCAAATAAAAAAAGAATCATTAACATCGGTTTACCTAGAGAGAAGTTTTGAAGTAACAAACAAAAAAATTGAAGAGTGCAGTTTTACAGTCGTCGTTAATAATAAGTTCCTTTCTACTTAAATTTAAAAGAGTGTAGTTTCACATCGTGTGCAGCCCGCGACACTAGAGTTGCACTCATATATTTGTATGAAACAAGCTCGCGAGCAGCATCACGGGGGTAACTGACGTGCAAGCCCTTTGTCTGCGCCACGTGTACCAGGCATCCCGCATGACGTGGCAGTATTCTTGAATTTTGAAAAAAGATATACGGGTTAACGCATTAACGCAGTGGACGTGTCTAGTATTGACTACATATTTTAGTAAGAAAACAACTAAATCAATTCATATGATTTATTTACATCAAAACATACAAAATCAATATTTAATAGCTAATTACACTTATACACTTTATATTACAAGGGTAGTAGGCCGATTTCAGCCTTGAATTCCTCCTACGCTGACGTCGGTCGCGTACGTCGGTAGCGCGTACTAATGTACATCGTGTTCTATATAGCCCTACACTGCGACGCTGACGACAGCGGCGCGTAGTTTGCTGCGCGCCGCGTACCGCGCACGTCGGTCTCGCTCGTCAGCGCCGCGTACGTCGGTCGACGGACGAGCGTGGATCGATACAGAACGTCTAATTTACCTAATGATTTGTACAAAGATGGGAGAGCAAAATACTGGGAAGAAGTTTTCGAGGCTTTATTTCCGGGTTACAATAATGAGGACGATAGTAAAAAAAGGAGTTCGATAAGTAAAATATAATGTTAATAATCATAATTATTAACATTGTATTTTACTTTCCGAAATCAACTTAACCATACAGCGCATAGTGGGACACATGTGGCACATACCTAAAAAACCTCTATATTTCCGTACTCGAAATAAGTAGCGTCATCTAGTCAAAAGTAAACTAACTATAAAGGAATGGTCAATCAAATTTAGTACTAAAATTTTTGGTTAGATGTCTCTGAATGAACGTTTGTTTACATTTTGTTCAAAACCAACGGTATTTTGAAAGTGATCGACAGGTTGCGCAAGAAAAAAACAAAAAAAAACTGATAAATTTGAATAGTTTGTATACGAAATAATTTGTAGAGGTAAGTTTATGTATCTATTTGTTATTTTTTTAGTTATTTGTAATTTCATAAATAAATAGTGCATAGAAATACGACATTTTTGTATGTGACAGATGTGGCACACGATGCAATAAGTGTCTTCAAAATATTTGTATTGTTTCTAGATGAGCCGAAGGAAAAATTTGAATTCTGATGATATTCAACAGTTTCTCGAAATTCCTTCCGGTAGTGAAGATGTCCTGGAACTGTCTGATGAGAACAGCGATGACGACTTGATCAGAATCCAGGATTTGGTGTTGAATGAAGTGGAGACGTGCCCTGAAGTACTACAGGATGATTTCTTCGATGAGAACGTGAGCATACCTAGTCCAAGGTCAAGCAGTAGTATGTTAGTGATTCAGCTAACAAGCAGTTCTTCTAACACAGCCAACGTTGCATCACAACCTAGTACTTCCAGGCAAATAAATCCTAGATCCAGCCGAGTAGCATCACGACCTCAAGCAGTACCTACTCCCCGCATCATTTCACCTTACCCACAGCCTGTCAGGCCTGCCAGGCCAAAACCTAAGAGAGAATACATATGGCGGAAGATGGACTTTCAGCCACCTGATACCACATTTACTGGCGTTGACGTGTTGGAACAACCATATACTACATTTGAAACACCTTTGCAGTATTTTTTGTACTTTTTTGACGACGATTTGTTGGATCACATTGCTGAAGAATCTACTAAATACAGCATACAGAAGGATTGCTCAAAGCCAGTTTTGGTTACAAAGACGGAACTCAAAAAATATTTAGGCATCTGTCTCTTGTTAGAACTGGTGCCACAGCCAAACATTCGCATGTTGTGGAATTCTATATTTGGTATACCACTTATAATTGAAACGATGACACTCGGTAACTTTGAAAAATTACGAAGTGTCATACATTTCAATGACAACATAAATTACAAACCTAGAGGAGAGCCAGGACACGACAGACTTTTCTGTATTAGACCCTTATTGGAAACATTGAGAAAGAAATGTCAAGCTGTGCCGAAACGAGAGACACTTTCGGTGGATGAGCAAATGTGCGCTACCAAAGCCTGCAACTTCCTCCGCCAGTATCTCCCGAACAAACCTCATAAGTGGGGATACAAGTTGTTGGTGTTGTGTGATGATAAAGCTTTTGCTTATGACTTTGAAATCTACTCCGGCGCAGAAAATGATCCTGAGTTGAGGCTGCCCGACGAATATGATTTAGGAGCGAGTAGCAACATTGTTGTACGCCTATGTCGCAGTGTTCCAAGAAATCAAAATTATAAGATCTTTTTCGATAATTATTACACGTCTCCTTAATTGATTTCTTACTTGGCTAAAAAAGGCATTCATACATTAGGCACCGTGAACAAGGGTCGTATGGGGATGACTTTGAAAATGCCATCTCAAAAAGAATTGACGGCCGCTAAAAGGCCGCGCGGCTATTCAGAAGGATGGGTAGCTACTGTTGATGCAGTACCAGTCTCAGCAGTGCTGTGGCTAGACAGCAAATCTGTTGTTCTCGCATCTTCTTTTGTCGGTGAACAACCTAAATATAAAGTAAAACGTTTCTGTAAGAAACGTAAACAATACACAGAAGTCAACGCCCCAAATGTTATTGGACATTACAATCGGCATATGGGCGGAGTAGATCTCCTTGACTCTTTCATAGGAAAACACAAAATAAAAATGCGTACAAGAAAGTGGTACATGAGAATATTCTATCATTTGCTAGATGTGATGCTGATAAATAGCTGGCTTTTATATAAAAGAGTAGAGACGCAGAGGGAAAACACAAAAATGATGAAGTTACGAGAATTCCGACTGGAGGTGGCCAAAGCATTGTGTTGGTGTGGACCGTCAATAATAAAGAAGAGAGGAACCCTCCTTATTTGTATGTGACATGCTTGATGAAAGAATCAAAAGGAAGCCAAAACTCAATGTACCACCAAAAGATGTCAGGACCGATGGAATGGAACACTTTCCTATTTGGTCTAACATTAGGAAGCGATGTAAGTTACCTGCTTGTAAGGGGAAATCTTTTGTAATTTGCCAGAAATGTAACCAGGCACTCTGTCTCAACAAGGACAAGAACTGTTTTTTGTCATTCCACAAATAGTTTCGAAATTGTTGTTTTTGTTCTATATTTTATTCTATTTTTCACAAAAAGTTCCTAGTTTTATAATTATATATAAGAACAAATACTTGGATTGTAAGGCTCCTTAACCTAAGGTTAAATTAGTTGTTATAAAACATAATTTTCATGAATAAAGTTTGATTACTATGAGTTTATTTCATTCATAACTATTCCTAAAACATTACTACGGATTTTTATTATACTGCACGATGTGCCATATGTGGCACATCGTGCAGTATGTTTCTATGGAGTTGCGATTTTTTTAAATATTTTTCCGAGCTATAGTATTATATTTTCTAGGTAATATATATTTTTTAAGCCGAAAAAAAAATCATGCACTGTAGGGTTAACAGCTGTTCAAAAAGCGTCTGTAAAAGTAATTTAGGTCGTAACTCCCCACTTACCAGAATGATGTCATTATACAACCGTATACCAAATTCCATAGAAATAGATATAATCTATACACCGTTGTCTAGATTTAAGTATTTGATCCATAAACATTTCAGAAATGTGTAATAAAATTAGTAGATTTAATTTAATATCAATATTATACATAGAATGTAAGCATGAAATCCACAAACTGTAGCTATATCAAATCTGGTTTTCCATGTATATTTATTATCATATAACTATCTGTTTTCTATTTAAAAAAATCACTTCGCTATTTATGAAAGTTGTGGTTACCTGTAAGAAGATGAACACATAGCATGTAGTCGCACAGTTAAGTTATATTTTTGTTAGTATTGTGTATCGTCTGTTGGTGATCCAAATAAAGAGAAAAAAAAAACAGACGACTGTACCGTATAGAGCTCGGTATCGCACTATGGTATTTTATTTATCGCTGACGTACGCGACCGACCGTACGCAACCGACGTCAGCGTAGGAGGAATTCTTGCCTTCGAGTCGCGCTGATCGTCAGCGCTGACAGGCCAATATGTATGGGTGCCTAAGGAGCGTTTTAGATTAACACCGACGGCTCGGCGCTGACAACCGTCTGCTGAGCGCGCGGCGCTGACGCGCTACCGAGCTCAGTTATCGTTACTGTGTCACGAAAAAGGCACGCCGAGCAACTTTAACACTCATGGGATTGACCATGGCTGTACTTCACAGCGGTCAGCATAACACTAAAACGAGTTCCCACAGCTACGCGCTGAGGAGCTACGCGCTGAGCTGTCAGCGCTAACGATCAGCGCGACTCTAAAATCGGCCGTATATTGTGTAACTCTGGTTCAGTGCGATTGGTAATGTAAAAAAATTGTTAATCCTTCTGCCTGTCAATTATTGCCAAGAATTTTAAAGTTACATCGTATTTATGTTATAGCATTAGACACAAATCCCCTTCCCAATTTAAGAGGGTAGAGAATAAAGCGAAGAAACTTTGGAAAATACCTTCCTTTGAGGCCATTTATGGGGGCGGCAATCACGGAGGAAATACAAAGAGGAGATGACCTAAGCAACTGTGTACTGTGATTCTAACTAGGCCCTGACGTCATCACCGTGGGCGTGGCTTTAACGTTAGTATTCTGTCAGCGTTCCTTCTGTGCGCTTATGTGTTGAAAATCGCATATCGCTGTATTTTCGTAGTATTAAGAAGAAAAGGATGAAGTGTTGTGTTTTATCATGTAAAGACTACTCAGATAGACGCTCTGATGCTATGGATGGCATCACATTTCATTTATAAGTAATTTTATACCTAATTTATTAAAATAGTTCTAGAAAAATCTCTGCGTCGGCTTTAAAATATAATTAAATATATTCAATACTAGATGGCGACACTTTGTTTCATGGTAACTAAAAATATAAAGGTACGTAGAGCTCAGTATTGGTACAATAATCATACGAAGGTTCTGAAATTTATTTTGCATTCAGTCTTAAAGAAATTTTAATCGTCCAAATATTATTTTTCTGTTTTTATAATCAATTTGTGAACAAGCCGCCATCTACCGTCAAGGTAACTAAACTACAATACAACATCGATATGGAACGATGCGAGTAGTTTTAATATTTATCGGTAGATGGAAATAGTTAAGTGGGCGGGGCTTAACACCCCCTCACTCCGCAAATTGTCGCGCATTGTTGAAATCTAATTACAACACCTTCTCTTTGTATTTGCTCCGTGGCAGCAACGTCCAGTTGTGAGCGACAACGTGGGCGGAAGTGCTCAGTTGTGGTGCTGTCGGTGGGTCCACGACTCTTACCCTTTACGCGGGATCCTCCTTCGAACGTAGACTCGGGAGCGAGGAGGATGATGTGCTGTGTCCATAGTGACATCATTAGTGTCGTCACTCATCGCGAGAAACAATAACTTCGAAACTGGAAAATAGATTCAAAGCCACAAACAAGACATCTAGGCTAATAATCGGAAGGTAACCGTATAATGGCGGTGAAAAAATATCCACTACCCCATATCGCCCTGGGAGTGTAGAATCATATCAATTTTATATATGGAAAAGGGTCACGGCAGGACTGCATAAATTACCGCGGTATAAGCCTTCTCAGCGTCGTCGGGAAATTGTATGCGAAAGTGTTGATTGAAAGGGTTGTGAATGAAACAGACGAAAAAGTATGGGACGCACAAGCGGGATTTAGAAATGGAATGGGATGTACGGATAAGGTCTTTTCCTTGCGGTGCATAGCCGAAAAGTATTTGGCTAAAAACAAGAAGGTTTATTGCGTGTTCGTGGATCTAGGAAAGGCCTATGATAGAGTGGTGTGGAATGAATTGTGGTCAGCACTGTCCGTGAACGGTGTGAGCAGTATCCTCATACGAGCATTGCAATCTCTGTATGATGATAAAAGAAAAATGTGGCATTAAAAAATCTGGAATTTTTATTATCTGTCTTTAGTATTTGAGCATTGCAATCTCTTTATAGGGATTCTAGTGCTTGTGTATGGATAAACTAGGCATACACTGAATGGTTTAATATCGAAAAAGGTGTTAGACAGGGATGTGTAGCGTCACCGTGGCTGTTTAATCTGTTCATGGACAATTGTTTGACAGATTTAAAAGAGAATGAAAGTGGATTGAGAATGAATGAGTTACTCGTCAAATGTTTTCTTTATGCTGATGACCAAGTATTACTTGCGTCTTCGGCCGAGGAGTTGCAGGAGATGGTAACTGCTGTGAGTGGAGCTTTTGTTCGAAAGGGAATGAAGATGAACGTAAGGAAGACGATAGTGATGGTGTTTGAAAGAGAAGAGGCAGTGACAGACTGCAATATCGTGATTGGAGATGAACAAATTGAACAGGTGAAAGAGTTTGTGTATCTGGGTTCAAAGGTTACAAGAGATAGAAAGTGTGAGAGTGATATCGAAAGAAGAGTGAATGCAGGAAACATGGTGAATGGAGCTTTGCACTCCTTTATGAGCAGTCGGAAGGTGTCTAATAAGGCTCGTTTGGCTGTGCATGAGGGGGTGTTGGTTCCGTCACTCATGTACGGAAGTGATAGTTGGGTATTGCAGAAGAAACATGAAAGCAGAATAAATACAGTTGAGATGAGAGCGTTAAGAAGTATGATAGGAGTTAAACTGAGTGATAGGATAAGAAATAGTGAGATAAGGAAACGTTGTGGTCTGAAAGAAGATGTAGTGACAAAAATTGAGAAAGGTATGCTGAGATGGTTTGGCCATGTCGAGAGAATGAATGAAGAACGATTGACGAAAAAAGTGTATAAAGCGAGTGTGAATGAAAGTGTTGGAAGGGGTAGACCTAGGCGGACATTTCAAGACCAAATCAGGGACGTCTTGAAAAAAGGCCAGGTCAAGAGTACCCTAAACCGTAGAGCATGTATTTTTTTTTTTTTTATATGAGAGGGGGCAAACGAGCATGCGGCTCACCTGATGGTAAGTGACTACCGCCGCCCATGAACAACCGCAACACCAGGGGAATTGCAGATGCGTTGCCGGCCTTTTAAAAAGGAGTAGGCTCTTTTCTTGAAGGTCCCTAAGTCATATCGGTCCGGAAAAATCCCTGGTGGTAAACTATTCCACAAGGAAGTTGTGCGAGGAAGAAAACATCTTCTAAATCGCACAGTGGTGGACCGCCAATCATCCAGATGGTGTGGATGGTATCGGGAGTTCTGCCGCGATGTGCGTTCGTGAAATTTGGCGGCTGGGATTAATCCGAACAATTCCTCAGAGCACTCCCCATGGTAGATGCGAAAGAAAATGCAAAGAGATGCAACATCTCTTCGCAGTGCCAATGAATCGAGCCGATCGGAAAGGGCTCGGTCGTCGACGATTCGAGCCGCTCTGCGCTGGATGCGGTCAAGTGGAAGGAGCTGGCACTGGGGAGCCCCTGCCCAGAGATGGGAACAGTATTCCATGTGAGGCCGAACCTGCGCCTTGTAAAGTTGCAGGCGGTGTGCCGGCATGAAATACTGTCCCGCTCTGCTGAGCACGCCAAGCTTTTTAGAGGCCAATTTGGCCTTCTCTTCCAAGTGACCACGAAACTGCACGTCACTCGATATGTCGACTCCGAGGATACCGATACTGGCTGAGGCAAGAAGGGGAGTGCCTTGAAACTGAGGAGATACGACAAAGGGGTTCTTTTTAGCGGTAAACGCGCAAACTTGTGTCTTCTGAGGATTAAACTGGACTAGATTTAGTCGCCCCCAATCCGAGACTTTGTCCAGCAAAGACTCGACTTCAGACACAAGTTTGTTCCGGTACTCGGCGACGTTTTCCCGAGAAATATTGGCCCGGCCGGTGTATAGAGCATCACCAGTGCTGTCATCCGCATAGCAATGAATGTTACCAGTTAGCAACATATCATTGATATGCAGAAGAAACAGCGTTGGTGATAGCACACAGCCTTGTGGAACACCAGCGTTAATAGGCTTGTAGTCAGAGCATGCACCGTCTACAACGACCTTGATGCTCCGATCTGCAAGAAAGCTGGTGATCCAATTGCACAATTTCTCGGGAAGCCCATAGGAAGGCAGCTTTGAAAGAAGCGCTTTGTGCCAAACCCGATCAAAGGCCTTCGCAATGTCCAGACTAACGGCCAACGCCTCCCCCTTGGACTCTACTGCCTCCGCCCATCTATGGGTCAGGTAGACAAGAAGATCACCAGCTGATCGACACCGACGAAAACCGTATTGGCGGTCACTAATCAGCTGGTGATCCTCAAGGATCACCAGCTGATTAGTGATATGAAGAGAATAATGAAAGTGGACGAAGAGAAACAAGTATGTAAGGATCGTAGCAAGTGGAAAGAAGTGGTCGCTGCCTACCCCTACGGGAAAGAGGCGTGATTATATGTATGTATGTATTTATGAGCTGCTGTATCAAATTTTTTATTTTTCGTCATTAAAGGACGTCATAGTTCTCTTGCAGTTATTAAAAAGTAAAAAACCAAACGGAAATCCGATAAAGTATTTACTACTCAATTGCTACGCATATCATATTCATTCAGCAACTTCGCTAGTAATGAGTTTTCTTTTCTTCTTATAGTATTCAATTCTTTCTTCCAAGCTCGCTGTAAAAGAAACAAATGAATGGACAAGGGTTAATAATCTGCATTTATTTGTAAATATAAGCAATGTTGAAAAATTTAAAATTTTTACATGGTAGAGTCACGACAATGCGAAAAGTATTATGGCTACAACATGTATTGATCGGCTCGATTGGGGAAAGGATGCCAGCACAGAATACCAGCGTGAAATAGCAGCATAACTCTGGTTTGTTTAGTATGGTGAATGACAAAAACTGGGGTTCCTTGTACTCTAACAGGGGCATCTGCATTTTGATTCAGGATGGCTATAGGTATCTATGGGCCACGGGTTCACATCAAGTGAACTGTGTGCCCGTTTGTCACCATTCATCATTATCATTCTAACCCTCAGCTGAGCATAGGCCTCCCCCAAGGAATGCCACAAAACCCCATGTCTGTGCCAACTAAGCCACCTGCACGGTTGCCGCAGCTTTTTTTTATTAACAACTGTGGGATGATATGGGATAGGAGGATATTCTTACACCGCTACTAAGCGGTTGCCACCCTTGGTTCTGTAAAAAAGAACTCATCTTTTTAATGTAAAAATATCTAGTAATGTACCGTGGTGTCGTAAGACCCAACAGAGGGAAACTGAAGCAGGAGAAGGGCAGCAGCATCCTCCTAACAACAACTCAAAATTATAAAAAACTGCATTTGCCAACCAGCCTGCCAAGCGTGGCAATTATAGCAAAAGCTCCCCTATAAGGCAAATTTTTTGGATGGATGGATAAATGGATAGATGAAACCTAGGTCTAACCATCCTTTCGATTTAGCCGTCACATATATACATATTATGTTTTTTGGGGCTAGACAGACACGTGACCGTTCGTTTTCTAAGAGGTTTATATTCTTGAACACACCGGTCCATCTGGTCGGACGGTCTGGCTTTGAAACATTCAGTAAATAGCAGCAATCTTTACAGTCATTCCCAAGTCCACTGCTGAACATAGGCCTCCCTCAAGGAATGCCACAAAGCACGGTCCCGAGCCACCTGCATCCATCGACTTCCTGCATGTCTTAGTCGGTCGTAACATCAGTGGTAGCCGCCCCACACTTCGCCTACCGGTACGAGGCTGCCACTCGAGAACCGTTCTTCCTCATTGGTTTACATTCATATTTTTTATACATAAGTCGAAAGTTAAAATAAACTTCTATAATGTATTTAATTATTATTAAGTGATTGTAATTATCAAAAGTAATACTTATATGAAAAATAAAGCTGTCATTATGTACTCCGTGTCCCCGTTTTTTATTTCCCCATCAATACATTTTATAAAATATATAAATAGGTGTATACTTAGTTAAGTATCTACCTATTTACATTAACAATATGTTAAAAAAGAAATTCCGGGGAAACTGACCATGGCAGTAAATATTTATCTCCAAAGATCTTAGCTTGAAAATACAACTTTCCGATCTGATTCTTGGATTTTAGAACTATCATGGTAAAATTCAGTTAATATTTGAAGCTATTCAATTTCGTGCACTAAACAATTTTTTTAAATCTTTTTACCGCTTCCTTAACAATCATTTTTCGATAGTTCTTGTAAGTAAAATATACATCACTAGCTTTATTCCAACCTTAACGCTGTCCATTACCATCTAGAGACGGCGAAGCCGGCCTTGCTCTTTTTAAGCGAGACTCAGGTGTCCTCTCCGGCTGATACTTCATATCTCTCCTACCCGGGGTACAAATTGGAACACTCCTTTGTGCCCCGGGCTGGAGTTTGCGTATACGTCAGAGAGGACATCTGTTTTCGACTCCTCGGCAGTCTTGAAGGTACGGACCTGTCCATCCTATGGCTGCGCGTAGACAGCGACGACCATCCCCGCGTCTACGGGTGCCTCTATAGGTCCCATAGCGGTAATGCCGACACAAACCGACTCATCGACCACGTCCAAATGGCTGCAGACTCCGTGCTACAACAGGTCCCATCCGCAGAGATCGTGATACTCGGTGATTTTAACGCCCACCACGCTGAATGGCTTGGTTCTCGTTTAACCGATCATGCGGGTAGATCTGTCTATGACTTTGCTTTGGCATATGGTCTAACACAACTGGTTACTTCGCCTACGCGGATCCCAGATGTGGAAGACCATGTACCTTCCCTGTTGGACCTTCTGCTGACCTCTCATCCGGACGGATATCAGGTCTCCGTCGATGCCCCTCTGGGCTCTTCGGACCATTGTCTGATCCGGAGTACGGTGCCACTCACGCTCCAATCGCAGTTGCGATCTGCAGCTTGCCGCCGTGTTTGGCACTATAGGTCAGCTGATTGGGACGGGATGCGGTCTTTTTTTGCATCGTACCCTTGGGGGCGGGTTTGCTTCTCGCCGGAAGATCCTAGCGTTGTTGCCGATTCTGTTGCTGATGTGGTACTTCAGGGTATGGAACTTTTTATTCCATCCTCTGTGGTGCCCATCGGAGGCAGATCCCAGCCATGGTTTGGTCGCTCCTGTAAAATAGCATCACGCTATAAGCATGCTACCGGGCCTGGGCTGACGCATCAACGTCTCGGGATGTAAACACCAGCGCACTTAAAAAGAAGTATAATTCCGCCTCCAGGTCCTTCAAAAACGTCATTGCCAAGGCAAGGTCTGAGCACATCGGCAGAATTGGCGAGAAACTAGTTCGCCTTCCTTCGGGAACCCGTGCATTCTGGTCTCTCTCCAAGGCTGTCCAAGGGAACTTCTGTCAGCCATCTCTTCCATCTCTGCACAGGGAGGACGACTTACTGGCCCATGCCGCAAAGGAGAAAGCCGATCTGTTGAGCTCTCTTTTTGCGTCCAACTCGACTCTAGATGACGGGGGGAACACACCGCCGACCATCCCGCGATGTGAGTGCTCCATGCCGGATGTGCGGTTTACACAGCGCTCGGTTCGCAAAGCACTCTTCTCCCTGGACATCAGCAAGTCGAGTGGGCCCGATGGAGTCCCTCCCATTGTGCTGAAGACGTGTGCTCCGGAGTTGGCACCGGTTTTAACGCGTCTTTTTCAATACTCCTACTCCCAAGGCGTAGTCCCGAATTCATGGAAGACAGCTTTGGTCCACCCGATCCCTAAAAAAGGCGACCGCTCAGACCCATCCAACTACAGGTCTATTGCCATCACCTCCTTGTTCTCCAAAATAATGGAATCCATTATAAACTGCCAGCTCATGAGGTACCTTGAGGATCACCAGCTGATTAGTGACTGCCAGTACGGTTTTCATCGAGGTCGACCAGCTGGTGATCTTCTAGTCTATCTGACTCATAGATGGGCGGAGGCAGTAGAGTCCAAGGGGGAGGCATTGGCCGTTAGTTTGGACATAGCGAAGGCCTTCGATCGGGTCTGGCACAAAGCGCTTCTTTCGAAGCTTCCTTCCTATGGGCTTCCCGAGAAATTGTGCAAGTGGATCACCAGTTTCCTTGCTGATCGGAGCATCAAGGTCGTAGTAGACGGTGCATGCTCTGATTTCAAGCCTATCAACGCTGGTGTTCCACAAGGCTGCGTGCTATCACCAACGCTGTTTCTCCTGCATATCAATGATATGTTCCTAACTAGTAGCATTCATTGCTATGCAGACGACAGCACTGGTGATGCCTTATATACCGGCCGTGCCAATATTTCTCGGGAAAACGTCGCTCAGTACCGGAGCAAACTTGTGTCTGAAGTCGAGTCTTTGCTTAATAAAGTCTCGGAATGGGGCCGACTAAATCTAGTCCAGTTCAATCCCCAGAAGACACAAGTTTGCGCTTTTACCGCTAAAAAGAACCCCTTTGTCGTATCTCCTCAGTTTCAAGGCACTCCCCTTGCTGCCTCAGCTAGTATCGGAATCATTGGCGTCAACATATCGAATAGTGTGCAGTTTCGTGGTCACTTGGAAGGGAAGGCCAAAATGGCCTCTAAAAAGCTTGGCGTGCTCAGCAGAGCGAGACAGTATTTCATGCCGGCACATCGCTTGCAACTTTACAAAGCGCAAGTTCGGCCCCACATGGAATACTGTTCTCATCTCTGGGCCGGGGCACCCCAGTGCCAGCTCTTTCCACTTGACCGCATCCAGCGCAGAGCGGTTCGAATCGTCGACGACCGATTTCTTTCTGATCGGCTCGATACACTGGCACTGCGTAGAGATGTTGCATCTCTTTGCGTATTTTATCGCATCTATCACGGGGAGTGCTCTGAGGAATTGTTCGGACTAATTCCAGCCGCTCAATTTCACCATCGCACATCGCGACAAAACTCGCGTTACCATCCATACCATCTGGATGATTGGCGGTCCACCACTGTGCGATTTAGAAGAAGTTTTCTCCCTCGCACAACTTCCGTGTGGAATCAATTACCACCAGCGAATTTTCCGGACCGATACGACTTAGGAACCTTCAAGAAAAGAGCTTACACCTTTCTAAAAGGCCGGCAACGCATCTGCAATTCCCCTGGTGTTGCGGTTGTTCATGGGTGGCGGTAGTCACTTACCATCAGGTGAGCCGCATGCTCGTTTGCCCCCTCTTCTATAAAAAAAAACATCACTAGCTAACGCACACAATGACAAAGCAAATTTAGTCACCTCACGCGTTTTCGGGCTGACAGGTCGTCTATACGCCAGTATATTCTAAATCTATGTTTGCAGCATAAATGTGCTTAGTCACTCTTTACTCATTAATTCTTTGTGTCCAAACATAAATACAAACTGTACTTACAACAAGTTTCTCGTTTTAACAGCGGAGTGTACAGTTTAGGTTTAACGCCTTGAAGTAAGCAATCAGTATACGCCATGACACCATCTATTTTGTCATTTGTATTCCCTTCGTTTTTATCTTTAAGTTTGACATATTCTCCTTCTAAGTGTTGAATAGTGTCCCGTATCATAGTTGTTCTGAAACAAAGGAAATATTAAACTTATTTTTGCAATAAAATAACTTTCTCATTACCATCAGAGCTGCTTATCAGTATTTCATTGCTAAACATAGGCCTCTCCCATAGATTGGCTCATAGGAGGCATATTTTCCATTATTATCACGATTGGCAGGCGGGTTGGCAACCGCTGTATTTCATTTTTTGAGTTGTTATCAGATGTATATATATATACAGTGGCGGTATTACAGACGTGTGGAGTACTCAAAGTAGGTATTAATTATATTTCATAGTTATTTATCTTTACACGGAGATCTTATCATTAAAATGGAAACATCAAAAACGTGTATTTAGCAATAGTTGAGATTTTATTCCTTTTTTAAACAAAATAAAAACTTTTTCGACTAGTTAACCGCTGGCCAGCTAATTAAAAAGTGTGTTTTTCGTGTTCTACTTTTAAAATATACTTAATGTTAAAACAATTATGTTATTTTTCATTTGGCGCGAATTTTCACGGTACATAGAATAAAAATAAAAACTAGCTTTGTACTTAATAGAAATAATTAAATTTTATTAGTGTTATTATGGGAAAAAACAAAAGCTGCGATCCATCTACAAGGAAGACGATTCTCAAGTTTTATGGCAAAGGTTGGTCATGTAGGAAGATTGCAGATCAGTTAGGATGCTCTAAAGATATGGTTCTAAATGCTATCGGGCATTTTAAGAACTTTAATACTACTGAATATGTGCCCAGGAAGACTAGACCTAGAAAAACAATCCCACAAGAAGACTCAATAATAGTGTTGTTGGCAAAAAGGGAACCGTTTAAAGGATCAGAACTGATTCGCTCAGAAATATTTGGTGAGGAAAGATTGAGAGGACTGTCTGCAAGAACGATAAGAAGGCGATTGTGTGAAGCAAACTTATTCGGAAGAATATCTCATAAGGTGCCACTATTAAAGAAGGAAAACATCCAAGCTAGATTAGTAGTTGTCAGAACGTGAGTGGAAAAATGTACTTTTTTCTGATGAAACGAAAATTAATATGATTACTTCTGATGGAAAAATGTACGAGAGACGTCCTTCTAAAAAAGAAATGGATCCAAAGTACACGAAGAAAACAGTAAAACATGGAGGCGGAAACATTAAAGTTTGGGGTTGTTTTTCTAGTCATAGTATAGAACCTATCAAGAAAATAGAAGGTAACATAAATAAATTCAGTACAAGAATATTTTAGAGGAAGTCATGATACCCTATGCTGAGGAAAGTTTGCCAGTGGTTTGGACTTTCCAACACGACAATGACCCGAAACACACAGCAAAAGTTGTCAAAGAATTCCTAAGAAGCCAGTCAGTAACTGTGTTAGATTGGCCACCGTACAGCCCTGATATCAACCCCATTGAAAACTTGTGGTACCGCGTCAAGAAAATAGTGGCATTAAAACGTACAACTAACGTACACCAACTTTATGCGGCTTTTAAAGAAGCATGGGAACAAATTTCAATTGAAACTTGCAATAAATTGATCGCATCAATGCCAAGGCGATATCCAGCTGTTATTGCTGCTAAAGGACACGCGACAAAATGTTAATAACGTGGTTTTTTGATTTTATAATATGTCTTAAATTTATCAAAATAAAGTTGATTTCAATATTTACAATATATTTTTTTTTAATAATTACTTAGTTTGTGCGTCTTTAATTAGTTGGCCAAGTCTTTTCTTAGGTCATAGTGGTTTAAATGTAGTTAAACTGAATAAATATTCGGGACACGTGAGGTTTATTTTCGATGTTTAATTCCAACATTTCACAATGAATTTCCGAATGATTTTAATATTGTTTCTAGCTCATAAATTTCAACAAGAAAATAAAAGTAAATAAACTTTGTTGTTTTAATATCCCTCTAGTGTCTTTAATTATGTGACCACCACTGTATATATATAGTGGTCAAATAAGTTATTAGGTGATTTTGGCTGTGGTCTAGAACTATCATCAAGAGGCTCCTATTGCTATATTGTTTAATTCATCCCTTGTCACTAGATTACCATAATAGTGCTTTATCATTAGCCCCTAAGCTGTCCATAGTTGGACTCTGACATCTCTCATACCGTTCCTGTTACAACCTAACAAAAGTTCAGGTTCCTGTTGAACATGGGCCTCTTACACAGATTACCTCACAGAGGAGATTTTGCCATAGTTGCCAGTTGCTACTCTTGGCAGGTGGTTTAGCAATAGCAGTGTTTATAGGTATGGAGGATGAAATATTTAGCTTTAAAGTGCATTTTTCTATTTTTACGTGTCACATTGTTTGTCCGCGATGAACTCCTAAACTATTGAACTGATTTCAATAAAATTTTGCACACTGTGTGCAGTTTGGTCCAACTTGAGAGATAGGATACTTTTTATGCCGATAAGTGTCCTTCAATATTTTTTTAAGGATTTAAGATAAAAAAAATTTAAGGATTTTTCATAGAAAGGGTCGTCAGAAAAGGCAGAACAACGTCTGCCTGGCCAGCTAGTAGTAATATATATATATAAGACTATCACAGCTAAGTAGGATTAAGACACGGAGCAAATACAAAGAGGAGATGGCATAAGCAACTGTGCACTGTGATTCTACTAGTTTCTGACGTCATCACAGTGGACGTGGTTTTACTTAGTATACTGTCAGCGTTCGCCCTGTGCGCTTATGTGATGAAAATCGCAAATCGGTGTATTTTGGTAGTATTAAGAAGAAAAGGAAGAAGTGTTGTGTTTCATCGTGTAAAGACTACTCAGATAGACGCTCTGATGCTATGGATGGCATCACATTTCATTTGTAAGTAATTTTATACCTAATTTATTAAAAAGGTTCTAGAAAAATCTCTGCGTCGGCTTTCAAATGTAATTAAATATATTCGACACTAGACAGACACTTTGTGTCATGGGAACTAAAAATATAAAGATACGTAGAGCTCAGTATTGGTAAAATAATCATACGAAAGTGTTGAAATTTGTTTTGCATTCAGTCCTAAAGAATTTTCAATCGCCAAAATATTATTTTTATAATAATTTTGTGAACATGCCGCCACCTATCGTCAAGGTAGCTAAACTACATTGCAACATTGATATGGGACGATGCGAGTAGTTTTACTATTTATCGGTAGATGGAAAATAGTAAAGTGGGTGGGGTTAAACATCCCCTCACCCCACAAATTGTCACGCGTTGTTACATAACGAAATCAAATTACAACACTTCCTCTTTATATTTGCTCTGTGAAGAAGTTAACGAGTAATAGTCGACCAACTTTTAAAATGCACTTGGATTAGTAAAAATTTCGTCAGAAATCTATAGAAAATAACATAAAACTAGCTGCATTAATAACTTTGTAATGTTATTGTAAACTGTTATAATTTAAAATTAAAAATTTTGTACAGCCGACTTCAATATAAGTTATTTAAGAATAACTTAAAAACTATTGGTCTGACCTTGATCAAATTCATATGGGACCACACGAGAAGTACCAGCTTTCAAATAAAAAAAGAATCATCGAAATCGGTTCACCCAGAAAAAAGTTCTGAGGTAACACACATAAAAAAAAAACGAAAAAAAAAAAACATACAGTCGAATTGAGTACCGGCTCCTTTTTGGAAGTCGGCAGAAAAATAAACATTTTATGAAGAAAACGACTTTTATGAATTACTACTATTAGCTTAACTTTTTCATTTGCGGGATGGAGAGGGTATTATTATCAAAATCTAAGTTTTTTAATTTTTTTTTGAATACCACTCCCTATAAGGCTGATTTGAAAATAAGTCCTTCAGTTACGATATTCTTATTTGGGCTCATTTTAGTCGTTATAGCGGTCAAACTGCGAACTCGCTTATTATGCTCATTATCAAGGAATCCCACGTATTGTGACGGGCAACTACGGAACCCTACCTCTACATTATGCGTGGCCCGACACGTACTTGGCCATTTTTATTATTATTTTGAATTGTTATCAGGAAGATGCTGAAGCCCGCTTCATCTCATCTCTCAAATAAGGAATATTTGCCATAATAACCTGACGTATTGATTGGCAGTTGCAGTTCCTGACGTTTCGAGTATTTGACGCTGCTCCCCGTCCCGTCTTGTATTTTACGTCTGGCGTAAACGAGATTGTTATAAAACCATCTATCGAAAGCCATGAGATCTTCCGGGCATTTTTATAAGTCACTGCTACAAGACCCGGATGCTTGGGTGGTGGTTTTTTCCCCCTGTTCGTTTGATTCAATCTATCTATTACATCCTAGCCTATAAAATTCCACTGCTGTACATAGGCCGCCCCATAGATTGCCTCATAGGGGGAATTTTGCCATAGTTGCTACGCTTGGCAGGCGGGTTGGTAACTGCAGTTTTTTTATTTTTATTCAGCTGTTATCAGAAAGATGCTACTGTCCATCTACTATTTTAGTTTCCTCTGGCGACTCTTACGACATCCACGGGACGATATGGGGTAGTGGGTATTCTTGTACCACCACTACACGACCCATTTGATTAATTAATAAAAATACTTAGAACTGTGCAATTATAAGCAAAATGTACACGTGGTTATTATTCCAAGATGCGATTAACGAATCCATTTGTAGCATACGATACTTTTCAAAAATCATTGACCAACATTACTCACTTTATTCGATTTATAGTCCAATCTCCTTGCAACGTCGCTATAACTAATCTTAATTCGTCCTCATGATAAACCCATTCGCTGGTATTCTCTAAATCGTAGCTACAGTGGAAAAGATTTAATGGGACATCTAACGCCATGTTGTACTGAGGTTTTCTGGAATAATACCCAATTATATCAAAGATTTGGTTAGATATGGTATACATATATCATGTTGGAAGAATTCGCAAACTTGGCTGGCGTTTTAGCGATCACACTATCAGGTATTTCGAACCTTAATATTTTAAGCCACAACCTCGGTCTGGGATATTTGAGGTTAGGCAATATCTTAAACTAATTAAATACCACAAAGATGATTAACTAAGATTGACGAAGATTACCATGGCAATTTTATACAATTTTAACATGCATGTCAGTTAGTCCCATTGTAGTGCACGACGGATTGATTTACGCTGCTATTATTTTTTACAGGATAGGGTGACAAACGAGCACACAATCCACCTGATGGTAAGTTGATACTGTGGCCCATAGACATCTCTATCTACCCTCGTTTGCGAATCAAAATGCAGATGCGTTGTCACCTGTGAGGACTAATATGGAATGCCTCTTTTCCAGTAAAAAGGGTCTCCGATTCTCTACACTCACCGTACGAAACAAGCAGTGTTAAAAGCTGTTATTTTACGCTGGTATTCTGTGAGAACGTGGTCTTTCCCCGGTCCAGCCGACCCATTCGTGCTACAACTATACTAATAATATAGCTGCAGCATGGCTCTACTAAACGCCAATTTACAAATCTATAATATATTTTTTATTAATTATTTACATGGTCGATCCATTCCAGCTGCAGCTGAGTTCAACTGTACTATAGCTTGCAGCACGAAAATACCGGTTCGACCGGGTAAGAACGATTTCGCAGAATACCAGATTCTAATAGTGGCGGTGTAAAAATATCCATTATCCCATATCAACCCATGGGGCTCGTAAGAGGCGACAGACGGAAACAAATCAGGAGATGGGCAGCAGTATCTTCCTAATAATAACAAAAAATATAAAAACTGTGGTTGCCAACCCGCTTGACAAACGTGGCAACTATGGCAAATATCCCTCTTATGAGGCAATCTATGGGGGAGGCCTATGTTCAGCAGTGGACTTTAATAGGTTGTAACGGCAAGGTAATGGTAATGAAAAAAATGCACATACCTTGGATTCTTCTCAATGTCTAGCAATTCAGTCATAATATCGGGTTTCTCGTGCCCCTGGCCAATTAACAGCAACAGGCCCATGATGCAACGGATCTGATGCCATAAAAAAGCATTGCCTTCTATTACTAGGTAGTACATAGATGTCGCTAAAAAAGAAAAAAAATGTCGGATTTTTAATGGTAATGAATTATTACTCTCAGCTTTTATTCCTTGTACGATTACTCTCAATGTTAACGGAAGGCCAATTGTCATTGCCAAGGCAAAGTCAGAGCACACCGGTTTAACGCGTCTTTTCCGGTACTCCTACTCCCTGGGCGTAGTCCCGAACTCATGGAAGACAGCTCTGGTGCACCCGATCCTTAAAAAGATCCGCTCAGATCCGTACAACTACAGGCCTATCGCACCTTAAAGTAATGGAAACCATTATTAAGCGATTCGTTGCGACACCGATTTTCGACAACTTTTAGCTGTGGCGGCGAACAAATATATCATGACACGCCTGGGGTTGCCACAGAAGTTGATGACACACCTATTGTGCCATCAGCCATGTGTAAAAAAAAATATCTTTTTTATGCATTTTTCACTTGTTTAGACCTAATTAAGTTTAGTTGACATCAAACATCAGTTACAAACGGAAAGATACTTGTTTTTAGTGGATAAATACGTGTTTTTCAACGTGTTTTCTTTGAAATTGACAGTAAGTGAATTTTTTTAAGCAGATTACAAATCTTTTGTACTATTTTTTGCTTAATAAAAAATCATTTATATAAGTAGGTACAGCTAAATCACCCTGGAAAACCTTGGTTTTTATTAAATTAAATTTTCACCTAATAATAACATTTGTAAATATCAAACAATCAAGAACCTTAATTTGGAAAAAATAAGGTTTTTCATTAATATTTACAAATGGAGGTTCAATAGGAAAAAACGCCGGCGCTATACGGCGGCGGATTGACAAAAGACTATTTATTAGCGAGCTTTTTTATGCATGAAGGGTTTGGAAATGTTTCAAGCAAAATTAAACCTTATACCATATCACAAAAGCACATGGTACTTCGTAGGTATATTTGGCCATATGATAGTAATAAGACGGTAGTTCAACCATTTTAAGCAAAATTAAACAATAAGACAAACGCATTGTTTTTTTTTTTAACAGGCGACTTGTTTTCCAGAAATTTATTTACAACTTAAGTTTGTGAGCGATCGCAATGAGTGCTATTATTTGTTACTTATTAGATTATTTTTCCACAACATGATTTAAAACCCACAAAGTAAAAAGAGTACCATGTACGAGTTAAAAAAAGGTTGTCAACCCCTAAAAATTTCAAATTTTCAAAATATTCAGAAACGAAGCTGTAGGCATGAACTACTTGCAAAATAATGAATATTTTGTTTTGGATAAATCTTCCAAAAATGCAATTTGAGCGAATTATAACGATTTGAAAAAAAGACACGACTCGCGTGGCATACGCCACACACAAAAATAATCGATGGCACGCCTGGCGTGCCATACACACTGAACCGGTTAACTGCCAGCTCATGCGGTATCTTGAGGATTAACAGCTGATTAGTGACCGCCAGTACGGTTTCTGTCGAGGTCGAGGTCATAGTAGACGGTGCATACTCCGGTTTCAAGCCCATTAACGCAGGTGTTCCACAAGGCTGCGTGCTATGCAGACGGCATTATTGGTGATGTTTTATACACCCGCCGTGCCAATATTTCTCGAGAAAACGTCGCCGAGTACCGGAACAAACTTGTGTCTGAAGTCGAGATTATGTTGAACAAAGTCTCAGACTGGGGGCGACTAAATATAGTCCAGTTCAATCCCTAGAAGACACAAGTTTGCGCGTTTACCGCTAAAAAAATCCCCTTTGTTGTATCTCCTCAGTTTCAAGGTACTTCCCTTGTTGCCTCAGCCAGTATCGGAATACTCGGTGTCGACATATTGAGTGACGTGCAGTTTCGTGGTCACTTGGAAGGGAAGGCCAAATTGGCCTCTAAAAAGCTTGGCGTGCTCAGTAAAGCGGCACAGTATTTCATGCCTCACGTGGAATACTGCTCCCATCTCTGGGCAGGGGCTCCTCAGTGCCAGCTCCTTCCACTTGACCGCATCCAGCGCAGAGCGGTTCGAATCGTCGACGACCGAGTTTTTTCCGATCGGCTTGACTCACTGGCACTGCGTAGAGATGTTGCATCTCTTTACGTATTTTATCGAATCTATCACGGGAAGTGCTCTGAGGAATTGTTCGGACTAATTCCAGCTGCTCAATTTCACCATCGCACATTGCGACAAAACTCGTGATACCATCCATACCATCTGCATGATTGCCGGTCCACCACTGTGCGATTTAGAAGAAGTTTCTTCCTCGCACGACTTCCTTGTGGAATCGATTGCTACCAGCGATTTTTCCGGACCGATACGACTTAGGGACCTTCGAGAGAAGAGCCTACTCATTTTCAGGCCTGCAACGCATCTGCAATTCCCCTAGTGTTGCAGTTGTGTATGGGCGGCGGTAGTCACTTACCATCAGGTGAGCCCGAAGTTCAGCTCAGTTTGCCCCCTCTCCTATAAAAAGAAGGCTATCCTTATCTTTTATAAAATTCGTCCAATCCACGTAGAACAATCTAAAACATAGCCTTAACTTCTAAGTAAACGCAGAATTGAACATCACTCGATTTGTCGATGCCGAGAATTCCTGTCGTTTGAGGCAGCAGTAAAATGGGAGTTTTTTTAGCGTAAACTCGCAAACCTGTCTTCTGAGTATTAAACTGAACTAGATTTGGTCGCCCCCAATCCGAGACTTTGTTCAACAAAGACTCGCCTTCAGACAAAAGCTTGTTCTGGCACTAAGTCCTCAGTAAAAACATCACCAGTGCTGCCATCTACGTGGCAATGAATGTTACTGGTTTGCAGCATATCATTGATATGTAGAATAAAGGATAACACACAGCCTTGTGGGACACCAGCATTAATAAATAGGCTTATAGTTCGATTATGCACCGTCTACTATGATACTTCGATCTGCAGAAAAATTTACTAATACATCTGATGTTACGATTAAATTCGCCAGCCAATTGTGGCGATTAAGGAAAAAAAAACTCCAATTTGCTTGGGAGAAGACTACGTTCAGCAATGAAATGTCAATGGATGACTTTACATTATTCTCAGAGTCCTGAAAACTGAGTTATGCTAAATTTGGAAAAAGGGGTAATTTCAATTCATACTTACGTTCTTTAACATCCTTTTCATCAACTGGCACTATTTCCGCTTTGAGAATTTCTCGATAAAATTCAGTGACTCCATTGCCTACATCCATCTTACATAGGTTACGGAAATCTTTAGTTCCAATGATATGAGTACAAGCTTCCCGCATACTGTCTAAATCAAGATTTGACCGGGGGAAGTAGTACTTGTATTGACGTTTTTTACAATTAAACCTATTAAGATAATAAATTATTATAAATGATGACAATAATGTTCTAGCCTATTAATGATGAGTCTCAAAGCAATAAAGATAGACGGAGCGTTGCGTGCATTTAAATGACGTCGAAATCAAGCCAAAATCAACATCACAACAATCATAAACTTATCGTAGGAACACAAACTCACACATAGATAGATAACTCTTTATTGCATTTATACAAAGTGTTACAATTACGGAATAACTTAAGAACTACAAACGGTGGTCATATCGCTTTAAGCGATTTCTACCTGACAAACCGAACGTAATAGGGAACATGTAATATATTTTGACGGATAGGTGCAACGTGCAATATAAAATGAAACTGAGGACAAAAACTACGTACGTATGCATCTGAAATTTTTGCAGCCACCCCATGGTTTTAGGTGCATATGTGTACGTCTAGCGGTGGACATTAACAAAAGAAAGAAGTAAGATGTGTGCGTGACTTGTGTAGAGGTTGAGTATAGTTTTGGTGTCGCTAGAAATTTTCGCAGCGCTCCTTTTATCTTGCTTTGTTGGTCGGAGAGCTGAATTCAATAACTTATATCATTATGACAATAATGAATATAATTGAATATTACCAAATGTGGATGCAGTGCAGCAATGTCAAAAGCATGAGGAACCGTAACAATATATCCAAACATGAAAACCACTAGACATGGGGCTCTTACATAATAGGGAGGATTTGTATAATCACCATGCTTGGTCAGTGTATTTTACATCAAGTATAAATATTACTACGACATAAATACGACATGATATAATTCCCGCTATCAAATGGTACATGATTTGCATCATTATTACAACCCTTCACAAATCCAGTGCTGAACATAGGATCCTGAGACACCTGCATCCATTGACTTCCGGCATTTGTTACCAAGACGGCACTCCATTTTGTGGGGGGAGGGGCTACACGCTGCCACTCAAAACTCGATTATATTTATATTTCGATTCTTAATTGATGATGGGTTTAGATGTCTCTGGGCTGTAGCATCTACTTACCATCAGGTAGATTGTGCTTGTTTGACAATCTTATTCTATAAAAAATTACATCGTAATACCGCGCCTTTATGGAATCTATGTGACATTTCCCATTAAATTAGTCTATGGAAAATGGGAAGATTATAAGCTGTTATCAAAATTAATCAGAACATCGTCATCACCTTAGAATATTAAATTTAATCACCTGGCACTGTAATCAGTTTTGTCGTCTGGTATCGGCATCCAAGCAACTGCACGAATGTCCTTTGGCAGGAGTCGATTCAGCATTTTACAGTATGGCATTTCTGAATTTATAGATTCAGGTAGGTGTTGTTTTTCTGGTGGATGCTTACTTCGAAGGGAAATTGATATCACCTGCAAGTTTGATTACTTCTTGTTTGTTGGATCTTTTCTTAAAAAATGATAGGTCATATTTTAACTTTACTGGAATAAGTTTAAGACTTGAAGCCAGTTTTTTTTTAGAATCAAGATATTATATATTAATTTAAAACTTTATATATACTTGAAGTATATAGGCGGATTTAACGGCTATGGCATTCTCTATATCTATCTAAGTCTAAGTCTATCTTGGGGCGATGTAAAGATAGAAAAAATGAATTTTTAAGTGGTAGATCCACACTGCAGCTACATTATGGTTGTAGCACGAATGGGTCGGCTCGACCGGAGTAACACCACACTCTCACAGAATACCAGCGTAATAGCAGCTTAATGCTGCTGTGTTTCGAATGGTGACTGTAGTAATATTCTATCTTAGTTCTCGGGGTGACAACGCATCTAGATTTTGATTCTTAATCGAGGATAAATGTAGATGTCTATGGGCCACAGCATCCACTTACAATCAGGTTTGCTGTGTGCTCGTTTGTCACACTTATTCTATTTAAAAAATGAAGTAGGTAAAGTAAAAAGTTAATATGAGAATACTAAAGTAAAATAAACAACTAATAAATAATAATAACTAAAAAAAATTGTAATACACAAAAATAAAATTCATAAGATATAAATGGTACATCACAAAAAAATATAAAATTAACGTAATAAAAAGTAATATGCATACTTTTTAAATACTTTCAACTAAAATACTTAACAAATATTTATAATACATAATATGTACATATTATAATATCATATAACTAATTACTTTCCTTTATCAGCCTTATTTATCCAATTTTATTTAGGTTCTCTAAGGCTGATGTTACCGAGTGAGACCAATGGCCTACGGATATAGGACTCTGGTTGATCCCATGCGCAGGTGGAGTAGGAAACAGCGGAGGAAGGCGCACCTAGTGTTCTGGTGTGCCTTACCTGAGAAGAAGAGGGAGGGGCTATCGTCCCGTATCTGTATAGCCTAGGATGTGTGCTAAAGCGCTCCCATGGCACTGCCAATATGTAGCGAAGTTGGAACACCATGGGGTTTAATTCGGCGACATGACCTGTCCTTCCCCCGCGAGGCGTAGGAATTTCCCCATGTAGAAATAGCTCTCTTGAGCTGCACCATGTGACGCAAAACTAAATCAATAACCTAACTCAAGTATTGCAACTTTTTTAACATGGCTATATTATAGCTGCAAAAGGAATAACTTGGTTCGACTTGGAAAGAACCACGCTCTCACAGAACACTAGCGTAAAATAGCAGTTTAGAGAGCTGGAGATTTTTTTACTGGTAACGTTACATTCTACCTTAGTCTTCAGGGGTGACAAGGCATCTATATTTTAATTCTTTATCGAGAATAGATGTGTCTATTTATATATAGCCACAGCATCCGCTATCATCAGGTGAACTGTAAGTCAACAAATACACGTTATAATAAAATATAATATATAATTTTTTTTTAATAGATACATTTGTAGATTGTCGGAGCATGCGTTGTCAGTTAGCAGCTTGAATTACCTGCAGGTTAGGTTGGAAAAGATGTTCCATTCCCTGATACACATATTATTTGTAATAGTCCCTATTGCAAAGATGTGCCTCAATTACCAACCACAAATTTTTATCAATGACATATGGACTCAATTTGTTACATTCATAAAATCATACCATACCTGACCATAAGCACTAACACCTTTATCTGTCCGACCACATCTGTGATACTGAGATGTTTCACGGCTTTGTATCAAGCAAGACTTTATCAAGGCATGAAATAAGTGATGTTCAATTGTTTGTGTAGAATCTTCTTGTACTGCTAGACCTTGGTACTTCCAACCAAAATAAAGAATTCTTAAGAGAACTCTGCGATAGTGGCATCTGCAATATTTGTATAGGGTATGCATTAGAGATTGCATTAATAATGCAAAGTGTATGAATTTTTTAATAAACACGAAAACATTATTCTGTTACTTAGACAACTGTAAATAAAAATACCAACCAACCACTACTAATATAATAGTAATAGTACCCACACCAATAGTTACTAATGCCACAGATCAGACTAAAGGGTCTATTGAAGAAGTTGAGACAGTGTAATAATTTATGTAATCTAAATTAATACTCAAAAATGACATGATCTTAAAAAATTTGCAAACATTAGTAGCCGAAGAATCGCTAACATTGTGGAGGTAAAGGATATTTGCAGTAGGACCAGAATAACCCATATAGTGCAACGTATCAGTAAGCTGAAGTGGCATTGGGCCGGTAGGGAAGAAAGGTTCTCGAGTGGCAGCTTTGTACCGGTTGGCGAAGCATAGAGCGGCCCCAGTAAATGGAGTAACAACTTGGTAAGATATGCAAGTTGTGGCTATGTACAGGTGGCTCATGACTGTGGTTTGTGGCATTTATTGGGAGAGGCCTATGTTCAGTTCAGTTTTGGACTTGTAACCCAGTGAGTATGTGAAAATTATTTAATTCTTTTAAGTTTTTTGAAGTTGTTTTTTTTTTAAATCCTTTTGAGTGAACTAAAGAAATTCATTCTACAATTTTTATTCTAATTTAAATGGGATCACCTATGAAGTATATACCTTATTTAATAAAAATATCATTAAAATCAGTTTACAAATTTTCCACTCGCCAATATATTCATTTAGAATTTTGTAGAAAAAACCCTGCAAGCCTCTTACTTCTCCTGTAAATCCAAGATTCTACAAGCAGTAAGTATATAATAATTTCATAATTCTACCTATTAGATAAAGTAACTGCATTCCTAGATCATCTTCACTTCAAAAATTCATAAATTTGGTTCATAATGGTGTTAGAAGCAAATAATTATTTTGCTTTTCTATATTTAATAATAATAAACATTCCAGATGACACCTTGGGTGTGTAGAAAAATGTGTATAAAAAAATCAAACAAACAGATTCTAGGTGGTAAGACTTCTTTTCTGCCTAGAAGTCTGTTTGGGGAGGTGCTACTCTCTTAACTATAATTATATATATATATATATATATATATATATATATATATATATAATGGAATATCTACAAAAAGGAATGAAATGCCTTCAGAAACATAACTTGTAAAAAAACCAGTCGGTTAACTTATTCAGTCCCTACTTAAGGGTCCTTCTGTCTTAAATTATTACGTAATTAGCTAATCTTTGCCGTGTAGTGGCGGTTAAGAATATCCACTACCCCATTATCTTCCCGTGGGTGTCGTAAATGGCGACAAAGGGAAACAGGCAGGAGATGGGCAGCAACATATTCCCGATAACAGCAAAAATACAATAAAAAACTGCGTTGGCAACCCGCTCGCCAAGCGTGGCAACTATGGCAAATACCCCCCAAATGGATAAAGTTACTATTCCTGGCTACGGTGGCGACCATGGTAACGGCGGGGCAGGGGGTGCTAAGAATCTCCGGTGGAGGTTCGGTTGCCACCTACGACGACTCGACCTGGCAACATACAACGCACGCATCCTGAGGACTGGCGAGAAGATTGTAGAGCTGGAAGAAGAGATAGACAAGTTACTCTGGCATATCCTATAGGATTCCTATAGGATTATCCGAAGTCCGAAGAGAGGGGGAGGAAACGATAATCCTCGAATCCGGCAACTTGCTCTATTACCGGGAGGGCGACCATCTGTCCCAAGGAGGTGTCGGATTTATCGTCCACAAGTCTCTCGTTAACAACGATGTAAAGATTGAGAGTGTGTCGACGAGTTGCGTACCTTATACTCAGAATCACCAAACGGTATTCGCTGAAGGTCATACAGGTTTACGCACCAACCTCGGCACACCCCGATGAGGAGGTGGTGGAAATGTATGAGGATATCTCTAGAGCCACGCATTTCTCCAAAACCCAATATACGGTGTTAATGGGAGACTTCAATGCAAAACTAGGCACAAGAGAGAATGGTGAGCTGAAAGTAGGGAAATTTGGAATAGGGCAACGGAACCCAAGTGGCCAGCAGCTGGCCAACGTCACGGAGAAAGAGGGACTCTTTATGATGAACTCTTTCTTCCAGAAGCGGCCCCACAGGAAGTGGACCTGGTCGAGCCCCGACGGTTCGACAAAAAATGAGATTGACTTCATTATGACGACCAGACGACAACTGTTCAGTAACGTCTCAGTGATCGCGAGGGTGAAAACCGGCAGCGATCACTGAATGGTTAGAGGCACACTGAACCTAAACGTTAAGTTGGAGAGGTCTCGTCTAATGAAGTCAACGCTCCGTCCCCCTCGTGCTCTAATCCAAAGTCCCGAAACCTTTCAGCTCGAGTTACAAAACCGTCTTCAGTGCCTAGAAGACTGCAATGAAGTGGACGATATGAATGACAAGCTCGTGGAAACTGTCCATGCGGTCGGAGCTAAGTTCTGCAAAACCCGCCGCAGAAGAACACAAAAATTCTCCGATCACACTCTTAATCTCATGGCTGTTAGACGGGAGATGAAGCTACATTCTTCAACAGATTTTACAGCATACAGGCAACTGAACAGACAGATCTCCAAATGCATGCGGCGGGACTTACGCAACTTCAATACAGCTTGTATTTTGAAGAAGTGATCGAGCGGAACCAAGGCTCCAAAGTCTTTGCCAGAGATCTGTCTGCCAGAAAGAGCCAACTATCAAGGCTGAGGATCGAGTGTGGCAGCATCGTTTCCGGGGAACCTGAGATTTTGAGTGAGATTGAGAGGTTCTATGGGCAGCTGTACACGTCATCGTTGGAGCCACACGCCAGTGTGAGTAACGATCCAAGAGCGAGTCTTATCCGACATTATTCCGATGATATCCCGGACGTCAGTCTGAGCGAGATTAGAATGGCTCTCCAGCACCTTGAAAACGGCAGGGCCCGAGGCGAGGATGGAATTACAGCGGAGCTTCTGAAAGCGGGTGGAAAACGGGTACTTGAAGTCCTTCAGAAGCTCTTTAATTCCGTCCTCCATGGTGGCATTACACCGGAGGCGTGGAGCAGAAGTGCGGTGGTCTTGTTCTTCAAGAAATGCGACAACGCTCTCTTGAAGAACTACAGACCGATTTCCCTTTTGAGCCGCGTCTACGTGCTGTTTTCGAGAGTCATTACGAATCGTCTCGCGCGCAGTCTTGACGACTTCCAGCCTCCCAAACAAGCCGGTTTCCGAAAAGGCTTTAGCACCATAGACCACATACATACCCTTCGGCAAATTGTACATAGGCTGCACTAAAAGTATCGGGAATGGAATATTTCCACTGTTCTTGTCATTAAAATCTTTTTAATTGAAAACTCCTTGGTTTTAAAAATCGAATACCATTTATTTATTTAAAAAAAGATTCTCGGTCTTGTCACAAGGTTTTGTCAAACTTGTTTAGTCGTTGAGAAAATGGAATTGACTCGAGAAAATTCAAGAGCGATGATTTATTATGACTTTCGAAGTGGTTTAACACAAAAACAGTGTGTTGACCAGATAATTTCTGCATTTGGTGATGAAGCCCCATCCAAAACCACAATTTATCGCTTGTTTGCTGAATTTCAACGAGACTACAAGCCTATTAACGCTGGTGTTCCACAAGGCTGTGTGCTATCACCAACGCTGTTTCTTCTGCATATCAATGATATGTTGCTAACTGGTAACATTCATTGCTATGCGGAGTACAGCACTGGTGATGCGCTATACACCGGCCGTGCCAATATTTCTCGGGAAAACGTCGCCGAGTACCGGAACAAACTTGTGTCTGAAGTCGAGTCTTTGCTGAACAGTCTCGGATTGGGGGCGACTAAATCTAGTCCAGTTTAATCCTCAGAAGACACAAGTTTGCGCGTTTACCGCTAAAAAGAACCCCTTTGTCGTATCTCCTCAGTTTCAAGGCACTCCCCTTCTTGCCTCAGCCAGTATCGGTATCCTCGGAGTCGACATATCGAGTGACGTGCAGTTTTGTGGTCACTTGGAACAGAAGGCCAAATTGGCCTCTAAAAAGCTTGGCGTGCTCAGCACAGAGTGGGACAGTATTCCATGCCGGCACACCGCCTGCAACTATACAAGGCGCAGGTTCGGCCTCACATGGAATACTATTCCCATCTCTGGGCAGGGGCTCCCCAGTGCCAGCTCCTTCCACTTGACCGCATCCAGCGCAGAGCGGCTTGAATCGTCGACGACCGAGCCCTTTCCGATCGGCTCGATTCATTGGCACTGCGAAGAGATGTTGCATCCCTTTGCATTTTCTTTCGCATCTACCATGGGGAGTGCTCTGAGGAATTGTTCGGATTAATCCCAGCTGCCAAATTTCACGAACGCACATCGCGGCAGTACTCCCGATACCATCCACACCATCTGGATGATTGGCGGTCCACCACTGTGTGATTTAGAAGATGTTTTCTTACTCGCACGACTTCTGTGTGGAATCGATTACCATCAGCGATTTTTCCGGACCGATACGACTTAGGGACCTTCAAGAAAAGAGCGTACTCCTTTTTAAAAGGCCGGCAACGCATCTGCAATACCCTCCCTGGTGTTGCAGTTGTTCATGGGCGGCGGTAGTCACTTACCATCAGGTGAGCCGCATGCTCGTTTGCCCCCTCTCCTATAAAACAAAAAGCTCTAAATTGTTAACGAGTATGTTTACCTGGGACAAATAGTCCGACTAAGTAAGTCCAACTTCGACTGAGAGGTCAATCGACGGATTCAACTCGGTTGGGCAGCGTTTGGAAAATTACGGCACATCTTCTCGTCAGATATACCTCAAAACTTGAAAACGAGACTGTACAACCAGTGCGTGTTGCCAGTGATGACATACGGAACTGAGACGTGGTCCTTTACTGCTGGCCGGATGAGGAAGCTCAAGGTCGCTCAGCGAGCTATGGAGAGGGCTACACTCGGAGTTTCTCTGCGTGATAAACTCAGAAATGAGGATATCCACAGTAGCCCAACAGATTAGTAAGCTGAAGTGGCAATGGGCCGGCCATATAGCTCGAAGAACCGACAACCGGTGGGCGAAGTGTTGGGCGGCCCCCCACTAGATGCAGTGACGACCTGGTAAGATATGCAGGAAGTCGATGGATGCAGATGGCTCAGGACCGTGCTTTGTGGCATTCCTTGGGGGAGGCCGATGTTCAGCAGTGGACTTGTGAAGGGTTGTAATGATGATGATGATGATAGCTAATCTAACAACATCTTATAGTGACCATATCAATATTTAAAATCTTTATGTTTTAAATAAATAAATTGACTTGGCAATCGCACTAAATAATCTAATTTAATATAATATGTATTACTAGAGAGATACATTGCGTTTTCATGCAATGGCCAAGTCAATCTATTTATTTAAAACATAAAAGATTTTTGATATTGATATGGTCACTATAAGATGTTGTTATGTTAGCTAATTACGTAATAACTTGAGACAGAAGGACCCTTAAGTAGAGACTGAATAAATTAACCGACTTGGTATTACATGGATCTCACAACTTTTTATGGTAGAAGAACTGAGGTGCCAGACTTGGTTTTTTTACAAGTTATGTTTTTGATGGCATATATAATTTCAATGTATTGTGAAAATGAAATTTAGGTTGTCTAATATGTTTTAGTGTATGTATAAAGCAGTCCTCAGCCACCTGCATCCTACAACTTCTGCATCTCTTACCAGGTTATCACTCCATCTAATGGGGAATGCTCTACAATTTGCTAATAGATATGAGACTGCCACTCAAGAAAATTTCTTCCCTGTCCATTTTGTTATTTTATATGTTATAATAAAAAATCAATACATATAAATAAAATTAAAGTGTCAGTCTGTAATATTGAAAACACTGACTTCTGTTAAGATAAAAGCCCAAGTTATTTGTATGCTATAACGACATAAATAACCATTTTTAAAATGTTTGTCTGTCTGTCTGGGCTAATCTTTGGAATGGCTGAACAAATTGTGATAACTACGAACAGATTGAGAGCAATGCCAGGAGGGATCCAGGCTATATTTTATATGAAAAGCTTTAGATTTTTTAAAAAACCAAAAAATTTGATGCCATAATGATCTTAAATCTAAAATAAAATTATTAATAGATCCTATCCAGGCAGAGCTGGGGCTTATCGCTAATTATTAAGAAATTTACAGAATTGTATTTTGATTCACAGCCATTTATTTATTTTATATCTTCATTGACATAGTTAATAATTTACGAATGTTAGTAACATTTTAATAATTAAATTTAGTGTAGAAATTGACTTACTTATTGAAATCAAACATTTTCTTGTTAACTTCTGAACAGTTTTCTGTGTCATTTGTTAATTTCTTGCTTATGATATTTTTTAATTGTGAATTATGAGCCTCTAATTGCAATATTCTGTCCACTAAGACCTGAAATATTACTAGTTTAGTTATAGTTATTGTAGTTTACCTTAAAATATGCAATTAAAAAATATTACATTTTTATCCATATTATTGAGTTCTTCCCGAGTTACGTTCTTTAATTTCTTTTGTTTTAAAGATTTATCCATTATCTTAGGTACTTAATTAACTTATTTAAATATTTTTCAAATAAATTAAGTAAACCATGTGCATGTGTCGTGCGTAACCATGCATATTATATTTATATAAATTAATTCTTAATTATCTTTAATATGATTACTATCAATACACTCTTATTCTTATATAACATTAATCATTCACAATAATTATGAATTATGAAGTATATTTATTTTTATATTATAATTGATTAATTTAGAGAAACTGATATGATAACTGATAATTCATTTTGCTTTACTCATTTGTTTTGACTTTTGACTTTTGTTCATTTTCATTTGATCTCACCTTGCTACGTTAGGCTTGGGCAAAAAATATCGATATATCGAAGTATCGATATATATTATCGATATTTAAAGTCGCGATATTTCGATATATTGATATTTATTTTAGAGTATTGAATTCGTATCAATTTTGATATGTTTTAAACTGATGTATAAATGACAAAACATGTAACAACCAAAAGGTAGTACAAAAGTATTCATGTGTCGTTTTTTTTAAAAGCGGCAAAAAGTAAAATATCGATTCGATATATATCGATATATTTTTTTCCTTGCCCATTCTTATGCTACATATTTATTAAAGATGAAGCGTATATACTAGAACAGATCCAAGCACTATGTATTAAACGAGATTAGTTTACACCTGTTCCAACTTTTAAAATACCAATCCACCTAGTCTCACTATGCCTACGCGTCTCACGGCACCGGCGCGGCGGCCCGCTCCAATCGAACAAGTACCGGTACGGCGAAGCGAGATAGCATTTTGTTGCCGTATTTACTACTTACTATAAAAAAAATATTATAGTTATAGTCTGCTTTGCCACTCACTCGTGTTTGCCTAAATCATTCATGTGTTAGTCATTGGAATTTGAACTATATTTCAATGTATATAAAAGTAACGCGACGCGCACTCGTGTTGTGTAAGAATATATTCTGTTCTTTTTTAACTACACTATTCCACAATCTTTCTATCTTTGTCTGTCAATACTTGAGACTCGAGTTCCGCGGACTTCAACCAAATACTAGGCAGATTTTATACACTAGGTACTTGTAAATACTCGATGCGAATGGAGATTGGAGACCATAATGTAGGCCCTTTGCCTCGTGCCCAAAAAATCGCCTCTGACACGAGCGCCGCGAGTGGCGAGGCGAACTGCGAGGCGAGTCACAAACTCGCGTTTACACTCGCACTTCGTGGCTCGCCTCGCCGCTCGTGTGAGATTGTAAACGGGGGTAAACAATAAACAGTGTCGCTTGGGATCATTTTACGGGCAAAAGCCAACAAATGGCTGAGATTAACATTTGTAGTTTACAATTTAGTTTTAAATTCTTAAGATTGATTTTTTGCGTGTATATAAAAACAATGATTATTGACAGGTAATTTAAAAAAAAAAACAAAAATAATTAAAAATATAAACGAAAAAAAAAAAGACAAAAATCGGATTACTCTGAAAAAAAACTTCCAATACCAAACTTTATGCGTACTTCATGGACTAGGTGGAACAGGTATTTGGAACGCGTATTTGTACGGAATTGGACTAAGTGCACCTAGTACAAAATTTACCTTGTCGACACATCTCTAATATTTATCTATGGTTCTATGGATCTGTCATCTGTCATCGTCATCAGTGCTGCCAACAACTAAACTAATCAACTAATGGCGTGCCAAGTGGTACTGTGTAGTAAAGTTACAGTCTAACTACTACTAACAATCGGTCATCGTAGGCGTCTATGTCTAGACGGGGCAATCGTGAGGTGTAGCGGGGGGTGAGACGTGGGCTGAACACTTCCCTACTGTCCGCTAGGGTTATCCTATCACGCAAATAAATTAAAATGGTTCACACTACATGTGCGGAAAAACTGTGGGTCGTCTTCATTAAGTCTTAAAAGATAAGGAATTAGTTTCATCAGTTTCTACATACACATAAATTTGTTAAAAGGTGAAATAAAATAAAATCAGTTTTTATTTTATTATTACTTCCCGTCCTGCCAACCCTAACAATTTATTGTTTATGTCGGCTTTTCCGAACATCAAACGCTATGACTGATTGTATGTTCTTCTTAGGCTATGGTAAAGTGCTCCATTATAGGGGAAATCCCGAATAATGTTTTTAGCACAGTTTTACGATTTTATTTAATTAGGTTTATAAGTACATGAAATGTACGCGATCTCAGACGTAATATAAACCCGCCCCTGTACAAATTACATTTAAAATATTCGTGCAGCACGGCCACCTCCTTTAACTCGGAGAGGATTTCCTCGAAAGCAGGTCAGTTGACTAATTTAAGGAGGAACCACCAGCTGCTAAAGCATCTCGATTACATTTTTTTTGACACTGATTGGAAATTGATAAGTGTTTGATGTCTAATTTAAACAATATTTTTAAGTGATAAAATTCTTATATTATTGTTTCATTTTTATAATATGTAGATAAGTCAATTTGTAACTATTTTAATTTCAAAGTTTCGAACTAATAATCGATAGCCTTAGTTTGCATTTTCGATTAATCGATTAGATCAGAGATTATCAAAATAATTTCTTTTACCGCCCCCTTTGAAAATCAATTATTTTTCAGGGCCCCCAATCTTTTATACACTCCTAAAACTTAAAAACCACAATTTTATTACTTTAATTAATTTAGTGTACTATATTAGTCTGTTCTGGTGTTTAAACTTACATTCTAAGCTAGACATTATTATCAGTGAGTAACCAATTTTAGTTTTAAAACTTATCTAATGAGATGGATGATACAGGATGAATATGATGATTTTTAACAAGTTTGTTGATATCAGGTTCGATTTTACTCAAAAATAGTTTTATGTCGCCGCATTTCGATAACATGCAAACGATTTCTTTTTTTTTAGTAAGCAGCGTTGTCACAGCGCTAAATCCACGTTTATACAAATATGACGATGGGAATGCTATCAAAAATCGTTGAACGATCGACTACAACGATCGGGTACAACTGCGGGATTGACTTTTGTAGCTAACATTGTTGAATTTGATATTTGTTTCCTCATTCGTTGTCAGTTCTATAAGTTCTTCTTCCAGTTGGGATGATACTGCTATGTTGACATCTGAAAAAGGATTTAACACCCAGTCTGGTATTTCCAATTTCAAAATATCCCGGAATCTTTCAATGAAATCACTGTGTAGATTTTCCAAATGTTGGCAAGTAAGTTGTCGTTGTTGCAGGATACTGATAAATTGGGAAAATTAGGGAACTCACGTCTGCCGATATTTTTATTGTGTAAGAGCAGCTTGGCTACGAAAGCAGCGACGTCATTTTTTGTTTTTATTAAGTTCAAGTCATCGCCTTGAAGTTGGAGATTCATATCATTAAGCAATTTATAATGGTCTGTCAGGTATGCGATATCATTCTTTAATGTGATGAGGTTGTCGCGCAATTCTGTCTTTGTTTTCCAAGAACTCTTCGACAGAGTCAAACAGATTGTATAATCGAGTCAGACAATTTCCTTTTGATTGCCAACGCACTTCTGTGTGAAAGATCAATCGGTTGAAATCTTCATCATTAGTAACACAGAACTGATTAAATAATCTGTCAATTAAAGAGTTTTACGGATTTTATTGACTACTCTGATGAAATGTTGCAATGATTGAAACAGTCGTTCACTTCAATTTCTTGCAACCAAATGTTGTCGATGTATAACGCAATGCAGCAAAAAACAGCAAGCAAATCTGGAATTTTGTTTTATTAAGTACGCTATTTAGCCTTTTTGACACCCCATCATAGCTGGAGCACCATCTGTAGCAGCTGATATAATATTCTTCAAGGGAATTCCTTTTTCATCACAAAACTTTTTCAGTGCTTTAAATTTGGTTTCTCCTCTTGTGTTTGTCTCTAAATTTGTAGCAAAATTAACGGTGGTAGAGCCACGCAGCAGCTTTTGCTGTTGCACGTATGGGCCGGTTCGAGGTGGGTTAGTACCACGACCTTACAGAATACCGGCGTGAAGTAGAAGCTCTGCTTCTGCATTTCGTCTGGTGAGTGCAGGTGACCGGAGGCCTAATTCACCCCCCCCCCCCCCATCAACATGGTAGCGGAATTAAATCATAGATTACCCCAGGAGGGTACCAGCATCCCTGGAGAATCCCTCGCTGAGCATCCACGACCGTGCTACTCCCCTCCTGAGCGTTGGTGCTCAGGCTGCCTCGCGTATTCTGGGGGGGGGGGGTGCGAAATTCCGCTCAACACAATAATTGCTCGGGGCAAACTGAGCAACAAGACCAAGACGACTCCTGCCACGCTATCCGTGAATTTTTTCAACATCAGGGGACTTCACTCGAACCTAAACGCCGTCCACTACCATCTCGAGACGGCGAAGCCGGTCTTGCTCTTTCTAACCGAGACGCAGGTGTCCTCTCCGGCTGATACTTCGTATCTCTCCTACCCGGGTTACAAATTGGAACACTCCTTTGTGCCTTGGGCTGGAGTTTGCGTATACGTCAGAGAGGACATCTGTTCTCGACGCCTCGGCAGTCTTGAAGGTTTGGACCTGTCCGTCCTTTGGTTACGCGTAGATAGCGACGACCATCCGCGCATCTATGGGTGCCCCTATATAGGTCCCATAGCGGTAATGCCGAAACAGACCGACTCATCGACCACATCCAAATGGCTACAGATTCCTTGCTACAACAGGTCCCATCCGCAGAGATCGTGATCCTTGGCAATTTTAACGCCCACCACGCCCACGCCGAATGGCTTGGTTCACGTTTAACCGATCATGCGGGGAGATCTGTTGATGATTTTGCCTTGGCATATGGTCTGACACAACTGGTTATTTCGCCTACGCGGATTCCTGATGTGGAAGATCATACACATTCCCTGTTGAACCTTCTGCTGACCTCTCATCCGGACGGATATCAGGTTTCCATCGATGCCCCTCTCAGCTCTTCGGACCATTGTCTAATCCAGAGTGTGGTGCCACTCACGCTCCCCTCGCGGTTGCATTGCTGATACTTCGTATCTCTCCTACCCGGGGTACAAATTGGAACACTCCTTTGTGCCTCGGGCTGGAGTTTGCGTATACGTCAGAGAGGACATCTGTTCTCGACGCCTCGGCAGTCTTGAAGGTTCAGACCTGTCCATCCTTTGGTTACGCGTAGATAGCGACGACCATCCGCGCTTCTATGGTTGCCCTTATATAGGTTCCATAGCGGTAATGCCGAAACAGACCGACTCATCGACCACGTCCAAATGGCTACAGATTCCTTGCTACAACAGGTCCCATCC